TAAAGTTGCTAAGGTTGAGAAACACTGCTCTGGATGTTGCTGGATTACAATTAACAGCATCCTTGCTGTTGGCTCTGCACAGTAACATCCGAGGGCCAGACATTCACTATCCCTGATTTAAAGCATCACTGCCTGCTCTTCAGCTAAGAAGGATTCCAGGGTAGATGATCGTGTTTAATAATAACTCAAATCCCAGCCTGTAAGCTTCCTATCAAATACAACAAAAAAGTAAAAGCAATTGGGAGGGTGAAAGGGAAAAAAAAGCAAATTGTACAAGTCCTAGTTTTAAAGAGCCCTTTTTAGAGGGATGAGCAAAGAAAACATTCTGCAGCTGCTCCTTTTCTGTGCAGTGGATGAAACCTGGTTGGTCTTCTCCTTGAACTGGATAGTTTAGTCTTGAGGAGAGAAGACTTGAGAGGAGGACTGATAATTTCTCCAAATAATGGACTTAAGTTAAATAGGGTGGTAGTTTGTTTGGCCTTGGGGCTGCACTTTGTTTTTACGTCCTACCTGGAGACAAGGCGTGTGGCTGGTAACATGGGAGTCTTGCTGAAGTAGGTAGAACTGAAATGTTTGACCTCTTTCCCCTGTTTCTGTCATTTTTAATAGGGCAAATGAGTATCTTAAGCCTTGCAGAGGCTTAAAGCACTTATTTTGCCCTTTAAACAACCCCAAACAGGAAAAAAATATATACTTTTTTTACTGGGAAAAACCATCTGCTTTTTTCACCGGAGGTGATACAGGTGGTTCAGGGGATATACTGTAATGAGTGCCTTAAACATCCAAGACTTTCAAGGCTCTGATTTTGCCCCTTAGCTGCGCCAACCTCCAAAAGATTAAAAAAAGAAGACCCACTTATTTTGAGGGTATGCAAAACATTATCTTAAAGTGACACAATCCAGTTCTGAAGATTGATATATTAGACTTGTGTCTGGGCCATACCACTTTAGATTGTGTTATTGGGCAGGGGGGAATCACAAGTCTCAGTTCCTTCCGTTTGAAAACTAGGATATTGGGATGTTGGCTTTATTGTTTCCTTCGATTTTATTATGGTTTTGTGAGCCTCCCAGAGTTATGACCCATAGGATGGGCCGTCACCTGAAATAAATAAATAAATAAATAAATGTTGGATGGGAGGACAGATGAGACTTCTTTGGGGAATGCCAATTTTCTGTGTGGAGAGATGGATTTTGTTGTTCAGAGACATATTAAGACGTATAAACTTATTAAGGTTCATACTAAATTGTAGGTGGTACAGTTCAGATAGAATTTGATTGCTTGAATGTGAGCTGGACAACTTAGCAATGTGTAGATCTACCCAGGAGATCATGTGGGTTTACTTACAGAGAGATGTCTGTTCCAGAAAATGTTGCATTGGAACATTTTTCCTATGCAAATGAATATGATTCTGATTAGCACATTCATTTCAGTATCCATAGTCTGCTCGAGTACATAGGCTGCATTATTCAATGCAAGGGAGGGAGAGCCAGAACAATCACCGGAAAAGCAAATGCTATCCAACTCTGAAATTGCCAGACTTGCCTGAAGTGGAAAATTTTTGGAGGAAAATTTCTACTCCATAAAATTTTCCAGCCCACATCTCTGTTTATTCAGAAGAAAATCCCATTATATTTAATAGAAGCTGTTTATAAGCAAACAACATGGTGTGCAAAATGTTTCATGTTTCAAATTTGCTCCCATATTCCCAACTATACTGGAAATATTCTGACTTTAAAGCAGTTTCGATAACCTCTTCTGAGCTTGGAACATTTCAGAACAAGATTGGAACATTCCAGCAAGACTGGAATAGTTCATTTCAAATTTAAATCAGCTATTTTGAGTTTGAAATATTTTGTACATCCGTTTGTACTCATGCAAAGGCCTCAGGCTTAGAAAGATGGGGAAAAGGGAGCAGCTGAAAGGGAAACAAGTGATCATTTTGAGTTGGAAGAAAAGAATTTTTAACAGAGAGGTCTGATTGCAGACTGGAAAGTTTTCTGTAAAAGGGATAGAGGGAAGCAATTTTTTTCTGGCAGTGTTCATCCCAAAGCTGCTACCTGGTTTAGGGAAGGAACTCTAAAGACTGCATGCTTCTGTGTTCACCTCCTCACCATGTCCTTCTTTTTTTTCAGGGCTGGCTTTGAAGAAGACAGTTTTAACAGAGGTAAATTTTTGGGTGTATTGACCTGTTGTGTTTTCAGTTTTTATGTGTCCCAGGTACATTGTCAGCTGCTTCTGGAAATACAGTTTTATAAAGTTTTTATAGTCCGTGGGGTACAAATCTAGTAAATAAAATAAAAGTAACAGAAATAGGTTCCATAGATTGTCATAGCCATGCAGTTCTGTGGCTATGGGCAAGGTATGGGAGAGGTTTTGATTTTTTAAATAAAGCAAGTGTTTTCCTGTAGAGCGCACTAATCAGAATATTTAGAAAAGATGCCATAGAGTTTGAGCACCAGGTTCTCAAAGGTTCTTTAGGCAAGATACTTCCTCAAGAGGGGTGTCCTTGCATAGCCCCTCCTTCTGACCCCCGTAACCATAAACTCACCCT